GTACGTCGGTAGCTAACAGAGAAGACAACAACAAGTGGGCATGTTTCTGTACTTAATTTCTTGAGTCATTTAGATATACTTTTACTATATTATCGTTACTAGTCTTAATTTACTCTGTATGTATATAACAAAAAAACATATGCATGTGAAGATAATAATTAGGATAATTATGTCACAGTGGTGCTTGGAACTTGGAAGTTGGAACCAATAGTTATCAATTTCATAAATGTCACCTCTTTTTCTTTTAGTTATCGTTACTTTTGTAGGTTCCCACTTCCCATACTTATTCATGTCTTTTGTTTTATAAAATAAAAAAATTGATTTGTTTCATTTATTACGAATAAAAGAGATTTGATTGTTACAGCGAACTTGGTTCCATACTAAACAGACATGCAATGAATGAAGAAAAAAGCTTACTGACGTAAATTTTTCGAGATACTTAAATGAAAAATAAAATATTTGACATATTATACGAAATTTCATAGTGTTTGGTTATGGTTATTTTTCCATTAAGCTTATCTTTACTTGGAGATCTGAAACGACCCTAAAGATATAATCATCGTTCGGAAGAAAGAAATACATTTTACTCAAAAAAACAAAAATATAAATACATTTTTACCCGATAATAGAAAACATTCAAAAGCCTGAGAAATCTTTCGAAGACTCGTGTGATCCTACACTGTCAAGTACTTTAGAACCGAAGAACGTATCTTCTCCATGTAATCTCCTGCTTCTTTCTGCAACAAATACATTTGAATTACTAAAAAGCTTTTTCCTAAGGTCAATTTTAAGGTTTGGCATTCGATTTTTCGGTTTCGTTCGGGTTAATTGGGTTTTAGGTTTTGGAAAAATGGGTCCGATCAATAACCGAAATAATATGTTCATCAAAAAACTGAACCCGAATCAAACCTAACCGAACTTCGAACCAGAACAATTTTCTTTTGTCAATTCAACTATTAACTGGGTCTAACCTGGTTTCCTTTGTATGCATTGGCTATGTTTTCGTCGAGAAGTGCCAACAAAGATCGGTTGATTTCATTTTTCTCCACCATATCCAACAACTGAATAAAAAGAAGAATCAAAACAACGTCTCAAGATCATCTCATGAAGCATCATAATGTTTATGGAATTATGGTAAAGTTCACATACTGTGGTTTTTATATCGGTTGAGGTTAAGATCTTGGTTAAGCTATTTGTAGCCGTCATAAGCTCATTTTGCATTTTGTCATAAGCCTCTGCAAAGCAACATAACAAGAGAAGTAAACAAAACCCGTAAAATCGTTGAGTCCATGAGGCATGAGTCAGTTAATAAGGAAGCAAGAGACAGCGCAAACCTATTCCTTCTTCTAAAGCTTTTTGAAGTGATTCAAGCTCAATCAATCTATCTTCAATCTCCTGCATGATTTGCCACGAAAAAAGATAGTTACGTAATCGGTTTACGGTGACAGATTAATTGTTGTTGCTTCAAGAAAGTTGTACCGCAGTCTTTGTAACAGCAAACCGAATCTGCCCGATTTCAAGTCGTATCTGCGCAAAGAATTCGTCGTTTAACCTGTAAATTAACAGTAATCATGAGCTACTTTGGGGTTTAGAAGTCATCTCAAACCCCCAAATTTATTACTCTAGTATCTATATTTCGACAAAAAACAGATTTCACTTAAGAATGTAAAGCAACAAAACATTCTCACAAAGGCAGTTCATCGAACTCTCAACATTCAAATTCAACAATTTATTCACTCAAATGCTATTTCATAATCCAGGTTCCAATATTTCGACGAAAACGGATTCACTTGAGAAACTAAACTACCAAAACATCTTCACAAGGTCGATTCATCGAATACGGAACATTCAAATTCAACAATATATTCTCCCAAATGCTATTCACATTCACTTCAGAATGTAAAGTAACAAAACATCTTCACAAGGGAAATTCATCGAACATATGGTGTGCAACATTCAAACTCACTAACCTTCCTCGAAGCCTAGCGATCTCGTACTCAATCTCCTGAGCCTCAGTATCAAGAAAGTACTCAATCAGCTCCGCCGCAGTATCCGGTACAACTCTAGACTGACAAAACCCACAAAACCAAAATCAGTCGATATAACTGCAAAACCAAATCTATAAGGTTCCAACAAAAAAGAGAATTGTTAACTTGTCTAAGAGCTTGACGACGCTCTTTCTCTTCACGAAGTTGTTTCTGAAAAGCTTCTCTTGCCTCTGAATCTCTCTCTAGCCGACGCTTAAACTCAAGCCTAGCGATATGACCAGTTTGCGGCGGACCTAACACACCTTTCGGATCCTTCCTTCGAATCAATCAAAGAAGAATCAATTTCATGAAAATCACTCCAAAAAAAAAAAACTTGTTTTTGATCAAATTCTTACCCATTCGCAGGAGATTTTGCTCCTCCGTGTATTAAATCTCGGAATTGTACGGACGGTGGTTGCGGCGGCGATTCCAAACGAAAGCGTAGCCATTAGAATTTTTTTTTCTAAGTGTGAGCTCTGCTTTTTTGCTTAGCTACGTTATCTCTAACTTCTCTTATCTGTTTTAATGGCGGGACTATTTGTGACCGTTGAATTTACAATTGCTTAGAGACGTTTGATTAGATCATAACCGTTCAATGTTTAAATCTGACGATCATATTTTGTTCACGTGGCAATATAAGGAGGTCTTTTAAAATTGATGCAAAGGCCCAATTAACCCAAACCCTATAAGGCCTTTCTATAGCCCGTACCGAACAATATATAGAATCATTCTTACCAAAATTGGATTGCGCTCTGGTTAACCATATGGTTAAAGTTGGTTTGGATCTAAAATTTATGAAATGAAATTAGTCTTGCAAAATACTTGAAGATCAGAATATATCAGGTTGACCTAGTTCTACCACAAGAAAATTCAACTAAATTTATGGAATTTGGTAGATGATATAGTATTACTTTATTAGCATAGGCTACAAAAAAAAAAATTGACATCTACAAATTGAATTGTACAAAGAACAAAAGTTGGCAAGAAAACAAAACGTGATTAACTCATGCTAGAATCTAGAGATTTACACCAAATGACAATTAATATAAATATCATTTTCAATAAAATTTATTACATTACCTAAAAACTAGTATTCAATCTTCTCGTTGAAGTATTTGAGAAATATTCTCTCCGTTTTCGAATAGTTGTCGTTTTAACTATATGCACACAAATTAAAAAACTATTAATGTTGTTAGTTTTTCAATATAAAAATATCATTAATTATCTACCTAAACATAATTTAACCAATAGTAAATCAAATTGCATAATAAAAATAAATATAAAAAATAAAAAAGTAATAAATTTTGCATTGAAAACTGAAAACGACAACTAATTAAAAACAAAAAAAAATCTCTAAAACGACAACTATTCGAAAACGGAGGGAGTAATGGAGTATTAAAAAAAAAAGGTAAAATACGAAAGGTTCCTTAAGCAAGTTTATAAATATTTATAACCAAAAACAAAAGCAAAACCAAAACTCACAAGTAACCAAAAAGAAAAAAGCTTAGAGAGGTAAAGAAAAAAAGAAAGATGAAGACGATGATGATGTTCGCGGCGGCGATGACGGTGATGGCTTTGGTTTCGGTTCCGGCGGTTGAAGCACAGACTGAGTGCGTGAGCAAACTAGTCCCTTGCTTCAACGACCTAAACACGACAACAACGCCGGTTAAAGAATGTTGCGACTCGATTAAAGAAGCGGTGGAGAAAGAACTTACATGTCTATGTACAATCTACACCACTCCTGGTTTGCTCTCTCAGTTCAACGTCACAACTGAAAAAGCTCTTAGTCTTAGCCGTCGATGCAACGTCACCACTGATCTCTCCGCTTGTACCGGTTAGTAATTTTATTTTCTCAGATCTCCGATTTTTTTTTTTGTCAACAACATGCATTATCTTAGCTTTGACCGGTTGGTAACACAATAATGACATTAGCACAATGGGGATTTTGATTAATGTGAATGTGACAAAGAAAATTGGCATAGGTTTTAGATCTTTCTTGTTGAAATTATGAATCTGAGATTTAACAATTTGATATTTCAGTATATTAGTCATGTTTTTGTTTTGTTTTTTGTTTTTAGCTAAAGGAGCTCCATCGCCAAAAGCTTCTTTACCTCCTCCAGGTATGAACCAAACTCTTCACCTACTCCTTGCAATTACTTTCTTGAATACTTTTCTTAAATTTTCATTTTTTGAAATTGAATTTCCAAGTAGCTTTTGATCGACTTGATTGTGTATTAATTGAATTATTTGATTGATTTTGATCGGAGTTTATTAACCAAATCAATTCAATTATTCAATTGATTCACTGAATCGATCTTCTAATTTTCCCAGACTTTTCTCTTTATAAAAAAACATAAACAGAGTGTGAATGCCAGCTTTTACTTGTCTACTTTATTTTTGTCTCGAATATTGACTTGAATGGTTCGGACAAAACCACTAAAAAATGAAACATGTCAGATTATTTTTTTGTATTTATTTATAATTGTTATTTGTATTATTGACGATTTGTCTTATATGGATGGATTTCTAATTTTTTTTTGAATTTAAATGGATTTCTAATTTTTCAGCAGGGAATACCAAAAAAGACGCCGGAGCTGGGAACAAGCTCGCCGGTTATGGAATCACCACCGTGATCTTGTCTTTGATCTCATCTATCTTCTTCTGAAATCCTTAACCGGATTTATACGGTTTTCCGATTGTTAACCCGGTTTATTATTATTAGCTCAATAATTCACGAGATTTTTTTTTTGTTATCGAGATTTGTTTGCTTTGGCTTAACTTATTTAATGATAAAAAATCGTGTTATGTTTTATCATTGATTCATCATTGAGTCCCATGTTAGTATATTTACCGGTTTAAACCGGACTCTATCATTTTGTATATCTGATTTGAATATGGTTTTCTGAGTTTTACAAACTGAATGTAATTACTAGTGAATGGATTTATTTGATCTAGTTTTTTTACAATTGAAAATAAAAATAAAATACCAAAACTGTGTAGGTTTAAAGGTCACAATCCTCATTTTGGTCGGTTTAGTAATCAATTTAGAGAACAAATCATCCATGATGTTTCTTTGTGCTCTCTTATGAAATGTAAACCAAGAACACAATTTTATTCCCCAATTGTGTTCATAAAACAACAAAGAACATAATCGCAAATTTAGGCAATACGAGTAACAACAGCATGTATAGCATCAGCGAGTTGAGGCACTGTCTTCGAACTTAGACTTGCCATGCTTATCCTCCTGCAAATACACAATTTTCATTTTGAAGCCAAGTTTTTCATGAACACAGACAAATAAATATAACTGAATTTATGATAAGAGTAATGGTCTTAAAAGCTTCATGCCATTCCCATTTGGGACTTCAAATAGTGGTCATGTACCACTAGACTCTGTTTTTCCTAGTGGTTACATAAACATTATTTTTAGTTCCAAATGGGAAAGGCCTAATCTGAAAGTAAATGGAAACAGAATTATATTCTTTGACTAGACTAGAAGCCAAAAAATAAATAAATCATCTAGCTTAATCTGAAAGTAAATGGAAAAAGAATTATATTCTTTGAAAGTTTTAAAATGGAAATATATTCCTCACCAAAAAAAATTGTTTGCTAGAGCGGTCATGGTGTCATTTGAAAAACATATACATGTAAACAAAGGCCCTAAATATGTATATCTACTAGTTCCTAATAATCCTCTTAACTAGTACTATAACATTTGAAAAGACTAGATATATCCCTTACCCATCATAAGTCATGTAAATGTGATATTCTTTGGCAATCAAGTGAACTTGCTCCTCACTTAATCCAGTAAAAGTAAACATCCCAATATGTTTAATAATGTGACTCCAATCACCAGGTGTTCCTGAACAAAAGTTATGTATGCATGATTCAAATATGAGAAGATTAACAAAAAAAATGAAGGAAAGAAAAAGACACTAAACTAAACCTCTAGCTTGTATAGCTTCATATAACTGTTGACGCATGCTAATTATGCGGTCAGCCATTCCTTTTAGCTCAATTGTCCAGTCATTGTACATATCACTACCAAGACGTATACACATAAACTTTAGGCATAATCAAAATCTATATAAAATTTTTATTATAGTTTTTTTTTTATAATACATATTACCTGTTTTTTAGAATTGTGGCAACAATAGATGCACCATGAATAGGTGGGGTAAGATACATAGGCCTCACAACAAGTAGCACTTGGTCCTCAACTTTCTTAGCCACATCCTCTGACGTGCATACCTTCACATTAGACCCATGAAGATTACAATATGGCCTAGATTATTTCAAACTCAATTTTTGCGTTTGCGTGTGAAAAACAAAAATCAAAAGAATAATGCATATTTTCTAATATACATCATTTTCAGTTTATTTTCTCATAATATTTTTGGAAAATGCATATAAATAAAAATAAAGCAGTACTGCCAAGAAGTTTGGATGCTTACAATGGTAAGAGCGCCAATACGCTCCCCATAAAGACCCATATTTTTGGCATAACTTTGAGCTATCAAACATTCACCTCCATCGGCAACAAACATACGAACCGCTTGTGCATCTGAGTCAAGGCTACCACTAGCAAAACCCTGAAAGTGTTAAGGGGGAAAATGAGTCATGTTGCTTTTATGACTTACCTGATAATGCTTAAGGGAAAACACTATCAAAGAGCAAAGGTAATTTTATTACTTACCTGATATGCACTATCAAAGAAGGGTAATAAGCATTTCGATCTCACTAGTCGTCGAATCTGTTCCCATTGTTCGAATGTTGGGTCAACTCCTGTGGGGTTATGCCCACAAGCTTGAAGTACCACTATAGCTCCAGGAGGTGCAGCGCCAAGATCCTCGAGCATGCCTATTTTGATATATATCAAGTTTTTATTTGAAATAATGATTGGTATATATATATATATATATATATATATATATATATATATATATATATATATATATACACTTAGGAAATAACATCAATTGGGTCATATTAAAACAAATTTGGTGAAATTTGGTGTGAATGGGTCAAAACAAAAAGTACGATAAAATGCAACAATTCAAGGTGAAAGACAGAGAGAACTTATGGACATAGTTCTATAATCACCTTTGAAGTCAAGTCCCCGGCTCTTCGGATCATAGTAGCGGAAATACTCGACAGACAAACCCGCCAAAGCAAAAATACGGGGATGGTTCCCCCAAGTTGGGTCTGGAACGAAAATGACACGCTGAAAATAATGAGAAACGAAATTATTGACAAATAAGTGGCAATGTACATAGTAAATTTTTATACGAGTAAAGTTTGTTGCAAAATTTGTGAGTATATATATTGTAGAATTGTTGTATGTAGTATACGGGTAAGAAAATGGGTGATGGAAAATCGTTTTCAGTTTGGTTGTTTATTGGAAACGCGAGTCAGGGAGATGAAGGCTCAAAGGCTCATGAGGCAGTTATTTAATGGGTGGTCAGTTATGACAAACTATGAATACAACCGACGGGGTCGCATTTGGGTTATTTGGCAAAATAATGTGCGATTGAGCCCTTTTTTTAAAAGTGCTCAACTCATAACATGCTCGGTAAAGTTAGAGGAGCTGGATGATGAATTTTTCTGTACGTTTGTCTATGCTTCCAATGATGTAGAAGAAAGGAAAGAGCTGTGGAGGGAGCTGATGGATCATTCCGACTCTTCTATTATCAAAAATAAACCGTGGATGATTTTTGGGGATTTCAATGTCACTTTAGACATGGCTGAGCATTCTCGTGTTGATGATCATCCGCAGGTCACAGCGGGGATGAGGGATTTTCAGAATTTGGTTAACTATTGTTCGTTGTCTGATATGGCGTCACAAGGTCCTCTGTTCACCTGGTGCAACAAAAGGGAAAATGATTTGATCTTGAAAAAACTGGACCGTGTAATGACAAACGATGTGTGGGTGCAGACATACCCGCAAGTGTATTCAGTTTTTGAGGCAGGAGGTATCTCTGATCATCTCAGGTGTCGGATTATGAATATTGGTGGCGTAAGTAATACAGTTAAGGGTCGTAAACCATTTAAGTTTGTCAATGTTCTCACAGAAATGGAGGAGTTCTTGCCACTGGTGGACACCTATTGGAAAGAAACAGAGGACTTGTTTTTATCCACTTCCACGATGTTTCGATTCTCAAAAAAGTTGAAAACTCTAAAACCTAAGCTGCGTTCTCTGGCAAAGGATAGACTGGGAAACTTGGTCAAGAAAACGAAAGAAGCGTATGAAACCCTTTGTTCAAAACAGCAAGCAAATTTACTAAATCCCTCTCCGCAGCTGATGGAAGAAGAGAATGTAGCTTATCTCCGATGGGATCATGTGGCTGGACTAGAAGAAAAATATCTTAAGCAGAAATCAAAACTCCATTGGTTAGATGTGGGTGATAGAAACAACAAGACTTTCCATAGAGCGGCTGTAACCCGAGAAGCCCAAAACAATATCAAAGAAATATTGTGCCAAGATGGAAGAGTTGTTGTAAGTGAGGAAGAAAAAAAGGCAGAAGCAGAGAGATATTTCAGGGATTTTTTGCAACTTGTTCCAAGTGATTTTGCTGGTACATCGGTGGAAAACCTACAAGATCTGTTATCTTATAGATGCTCGCAGGCGGATGGAGAAATGCTCACCCGTGTTGTTACAGGAGAGGAAGTGAAAAAGGTACTGTTTTCAATGCCAAAGGATAAGTCCCCCGGCCCAGATGGTTATACCACTGAATTTTACAAGGCATCATGGGAGGTTATAGGGAAGGAATTTGTTCTAGCGATTCAATCCTTTTTTGCAAAAGGTTTTTTGCCTAAGGGTATTAACTCAACTATTCTTGCTCTTATCCCGAAGAAAAAAGGGGCAAAGGAGATGAAGGACTATAGACCAATCTCGTGTTGTAACGTGATATACAAGGTGATCTCAAAAATCATAGCAAATCGTCTCAAGCAGGTTCTCCCTAAATTCATAGCTGCAAATCAGTCGGCGTTTGTAAAAGACCGTCTTTTGATAGAAAATGTATTGCTGGCCATGGAGTTGGTCAAGGATTACCATAAAGACACCATCACAAGCCGTTGCGCGATAAAGATAGATATCTCTAAAGCTTTTGATTCCGTTCAGTGGTCTTTCTTGAATAAAGCTCTCTCCGCTCTAAACTTCCCTCCTATGTTTATTCAGTGGATCATGCTATGCGTCACCACAGCATCCTTCTCGGTACAAGTAAATGGAGAACTAGCGGGTTACTTTAGAAGTTCTCGCGGACTACGACAGGGCTGTTCCCTCTCACCTTACCTGTTTGTTATAAGTATGGACATTCTCTTAAAAATGTTAGACAAGGCAGCTGCAGCCCAACATTTTGGCTACCATCCAAGATGTAAGACTCTAGGTCTCACTCACCTAAGTTTTGCGGATGACCTCATGGTTCTCTCCGATGGAAATGTACGCTCTGTAGAAGGTATTATCTCGGTATTTGATGAATTTGCAAAAATCTCTGGTTTGAAAATTAGTATGGAGAAATCAACCCTCTATTTGGCTGGCACGTCGCGCTCAACAGTTCAACTAATTGCGGCAGTCTATCCTTTCGATATAGGACATCTTCCAGTTCGTTATCTGGGCCTCCCTCTAGTCACTAAGCGGCTTGCCACTGCAGACTGTGCTCCACTATTAGAACAGGTAAAGAAGCGCATCGAGTCTTGGACTGCACGGTATCTCTCTTTTGCGGGTCGTTTGAATTTGATTTCTTCGGTTTTGTGGAGCATTTGCAATTTTTGGTTGGCAGCATATCGTCTTCCTCGTGAATGCATTAATAGTGTTGAGAAATTATGTTCTGCATTTTTATGGTCAGGAGCTGAAATGAGAACTCATAAAGCAAAAATCTCTTGGGAACGAGTTTGTACACCTAAGCGAGAAGGAGGACTAGGGCTGAGATCTCTCAAGGAAGCTAATAATGTATGTTGCTTGAAACTGATATGGCGGTTAGTCTCTAACAGTAACTCCTTATGGGTTACATGGGTTAAAGAGACACTCCTTAAAAGAACATCTTTCTGGTCGCTCAAAAACAATTCAAGCATGGGTTCTTGGATATGGAGAAAAATTCTCAAATATAGAGATGTGGCAAAGAATTTCTGTAAGGTGGATGTGGGTAATGGAGAGCACACATCTTTCTGGTATGATCACTGGTCCGGGCTAGGGCGACTAATTGAGACTGCGGGAGTTAGAGGAGTTATTGATCTGGGGATAAGTAGAACAAGCTCGGTGGCGCAAGCGTGGGCTAGTCATCGTCGTCGAAGGCACCGCTCAGTTTTCTTAAATGAAACAGAGGAGGCTCTGTTTGAATATGGAAAAAAACGGAGCAGTAGAGAAGATACAGTCCTATGGCGATCCATGAATGACAGTTTCAAACCATTTTTCTCGACGAAAGACACTTGGAATCACATAAGAACAACTTCGACCACAGTCACTTGGCACAAAGGAGTATGGTTTTCAAATGAAACCCCTAAATACTCCTTTTGTGTATGGCTTGCAGCTCATGATCGGCTTTCTACGGGAGATCGTATGCAACAATGGAATGGGGGTGGATCGGGACTCTGCATTTTATGCAAAACGTGCACCGAATCTAGAGACCATCTATTTTTCTCATGTGCTTACACATCGAAAGTATGGGCAGCTGTTGCGAAAGGATTATTCAAAGCCAAGTACACGACAGTTTGGTCTCAGCTCATAGATCACATTTCCAACGCTCAACAAGATCGGGTGGAGAGGTTCCTAACAAGGTATGTTTTTCAAACAACCGTCTACATGATTTGGAAGGAGAGAAATGGCCGTAGGCACGATGAACAACCGCACACAGAGAATATCCTCACGGGCTGGATTGATAAGCAAATACGAGACCAAATTTCTATGATCCGAAGAAGGGGAGATAGACGATACGACGAGGCGTATCAACTATGGCTCCTAGCCCGAAGCTAATCTTCAAAGGCTGTCGTTTTTTTTTGTTTCTATCAAACACTATTTCAACTCGCTCTCAAACTTAAGTCGCACTTGGTTGTAAAAACGTAATTTTTCTTTTGAATATAATTTAACATTAGATTCAAAAAAAAAAAAGTATACGGGTAATTCGTTCTGAAATGCTAGAGGTTTCTTTTACCAAATTCTAATGACCATTGGAAAAAACTAAGTAGATAGTGAGAATTGTTTACTTCTTTGTTGTGTGTTGCTAGAAACTCAGCTCCAACTCTCAAAGAACCAGTACCAGACAAACACTGGATTGTAACAACTCTGTTCTCTTTCACTGCGGGACTGTCCAAAGCAAAACAATCTTTATAGTAGAATGAATAATAAAGAGAAAATATGAGAGAAAATAGCAGCGAATACATTACCTATCATCACCTAAGATAAGCTTGGTACTTAATTTATTAAATTCAGGAAGTCCATTAAGGGGAAGATATTCCTTGTCCCTAGACCTTGAGATAAAACAGAAAAATCATATAGGCTAATGAATAATGATTAACAAACAATAATGGGTTTGGAAAATTTAATTTGTTTACGTTTGCGTTCGTGTTTACATTATTTACTATATAATTTTTCTCAAAATAAGGATTTTATAAACGGAAATATTTAATTAAAAACTAAAAAGTATTTAGTATCTCTCTATTCATCATATACACAAAAGTTGCCTTTTGTTAACAAATAGTTTTTGCTAACTTACAGGTCGTTGGCTAACTGTTGCTCTGCTCTTCTCACAACATCAAGAACAAGAGGCTTTCCTTCCTTAAGAAAAAAAAACAAAACAAAAAAAAACAAAGAGAAGGCTAATCTAATCAATTCATGAACTCGCAAAATGGCAATAATTAACTTAATCATATAGATTATGAAGATCTGAAAATTACCTCAGTTCGATAGGTACCTGCGCTCAAATTCAACTTGACCGGACTAGGATCATCTCTACAAGCAAAAATTACCTGTTTCCATAATCATAAATATATACATTAGAAAAAAGATTAACATAAGTACACATTTTGTCGAAGCAGCATAAGTAAGTATATAAGAAATCAACAAAAAAAAAAAAAAAAAGAGAGAAGTGAAATCGATGAAGAGCCATTATATAGAGTAGTACACTGAGAACAGGATCTTTGGGAGCAGGAAGGACGCTTGACAAGATGGAATTCATGAGAATTGATTGAATCAGTTGAAAATTTGAAATGAATTTGAACCCCAAAAAAAAAGACTAATTATTGAAAAAAGTGTTGAGAAACTAAAACATTATTATATTAGGTTCACCAACCACATGAATCATGGTTTTAAAAAATACATTATTCTTTTCTTTTTTTTTCGTTTAAAATTTCCTTTTTCTAACAATTAGGAATTTCATTCTTTAATTAAAAATAATCCCTATAGATGATAAATTTAAAGCTGAGATGATTCAGCTAGGATTTTAGGTTGTATGCTAACCGTTGAAATAGATATGAAATATATTAATTGTCTTAATCTAATATTTTTTTTTCTTTTTCCTCGCTAACAATAGTTCTTCTATTATCTAAGATATTCCAAAAAAAAATATAAGAAAATTTAGTGTTTTTATAATGGGAAAATTCCCAAAAAAAACCTCAATTATTTTTTATTTGGATGTTTAATACCCAATTGTTTTCGGTTGGAAAAAAAATACACATATTAATAAAACTGTGCGATTTAATATCCAAAAAAATTAAATGTTGTTATTTTCATACTTACGATCTCACAACAAAAATAAAATTCCAATTTTACCCTTACTATCTTAATTAATTATTAACTTTTATATTACATGACAATAGTTTTTATTTAAATAAAAATTAATTTTGTTAATATTTCATTTTTTTGTTATCCCAAAAAAATTCAAAAAAAAATTCAAAATAATTTGCAGTTTATTTTACAAATATTTAATTTTTAAAAATTAAAAATAAAATTAATTAGCAAAAAATTTAGAAAAAGTAAAAAAAAAAATAGCCATTTTTATGAATTGATAAATCTTGAGAGAGACGATGAGATTCGGATTGAGATTTTGTCGAAAATAGTTTCATTCGTGAAGGATTTATATTCGAATAGAGAGTTTCTCACGACGAAGAAAAAGTTCATATTGATGCTCGTTGATATCATATGCATCACGACGAATCAAATCAAATTAGTTTTATTGGCGATGAAGATTTTGGATAGGATTAAAAGGAGATTGTGAACGGTTATCGAATTTGATGGTTGCAAAAGAGGACGGCGGAGATTGTTTACCGGTAATTCTAGTAGATATTAATCGAAAAAATTAGAATCGAAGAGGAAACGTCTCTTTGACATTGCAAAGACGGAATAAGATTGTACAAATGACTATTTTAAATATTTTTGATTTTCTGCTAATTTTTATGTTTAATTTTAAAATAAAATAATTATATAAATTTAAAATTTATTTTTTAGGCAACATAAAATAAAACATTAAAAAAATTAATTTTTATTTAAATAAAAAAATAATACCACGTTATTTAAAAGTTAATAATTAATTGAGATGGTAAGGGTAAAATTGGAATATTTTTTTTGTTGTAAGTTCGTGAGTATGAAAATAACAACATTTAATTGTTTGGGTATTAAATCGCACAGTTTTATTAATTTGTGTATTTTTCTTCCAACCGAAAATAATTGGGTATTAAACGTCCAAATAAAAAATATATGAGGTTTTTTTTGGGAATTTTCCCTTTTTATAATTGAAGATTAAAAAAAATTCTAAGTCAACACTTTCGTTTTGGTAATTTTTTTTATATTCATTTTAGAACACGAAAAAGAAAAAATATTACTCCGTTTGGAACCTAGCTTTATATATTTGAAAGATGATATTTGAAAACTCTATATGACAGGGGATTTTATATATTCATTTTAGTAATCTTCGAAGTGGGAACCTTTATCTAAGATTTGTTTTCTATATTCATTTTCGTAATCTTCGAAGTTGGAACCTACCTAGATATATATATTTGAAAGATGCTATTTGAAAATCAATCTTCTCAGATATATATTTTTAAATCATTAGGTACTTTTATGTGAACTGAACTTAATGTTTGCCATGTTTTATTTCAATAAAACAAAACCAACCGTTCTTGTATCATTATAATGATAAACTTCAACAAGCGCTGGTTTGATCAAATCTACAACTATGTGAGACAGAACTTCTGTCACAGAACCAATCAAGACGAAGCCAACGGTCTACAGACTGGTAAGTCTTTTTCGAAGAAAGGAGCAGCCCCAAGAATCGGATTGGATTCAAAGAAATTGGCCGGTTTAAGCTCAAAGCTAGCCGCGACGGTTGGCATAACCGGATAATCTTCTTGGCAAGGTACGTGATGGAACCCTAGTGTGTACCACAGCACTATGTCCTTGTTTTCGATCGAACGGTCCCTGTTTCAACACAAAAACGAAGATTTCAGAGAAATGTTTCAAACTATAAACGGTATGGCTCAATTGGTATAGTGCATAAATTAGTTTCTTACCGGTCTGACCAAACTTGTAGTGTGTCATCACCTTGGCTCTGGTAAATTAGAACTCCTCCGGCATATTGTTCTGACCGGTTATATGGAGTCACCCATATCTAAACCGACAAAACCAATTGTATAGGTTAAATCAACATTTTGACACATTGTCTTAAACCGATATATAAAACACATAGCCTAAAATTAAATACCTGATTATTGGTGAATGCACCTCGAATTTGAGGAGGATCGTCGTGATCAAGCAAACTCGCTGCATTACCACCCGGTATGATCCTGTAACCAGCCAGGTTTCCGATCCGAGATTTTCGGTTCGGGTTCACAATGTGGAATTCATATGGGTCATAAAGGCTCAATTTGATCTGAGCATCTTTCTCAGTCTTGGCTATGTATTTCTTGATCTTCAAGTAACTCTTCCTCGGCGATTTTCCTGTTGGAACTCTCTGCTTCTCTAGATGAACCTTGAACAAAGAATTATTCATTGGTCCATCAATGTCCATGTCTAGATGAAACGTTATGAAATGATCATGGACGACTCCAATCACATTCTCAGAGATCAACGGTCCAGAATCATCCTCCATATCACCTAAGTCATCTACATTATCATAAGGTGTCCCTTTCACCATTAACATTCCCGAAGCCGCGACCTAACAATAGCATTAAACTATAATGAAACTTTACAGAAATATATTCATATATATACAGAATTTTTTTAAAAATGTTTTGGCATACCGTAACACGGATTAAACCATCAGTCTGAAACTCCCAATCGAAAATATAGTCGTAATTTCCAACCGAAGTTGCCATTCGAGCGACCAATGTAACTTTTGGCCTTGACTCTCTTATCTGTTAAATCATCAATTTAGGAATCAATTGTCATTCAAAATATAAGAAAAGATAATCCGATCCGAACCAAACCAGAAAAGAGGGACCGAAAACCAAATTGAGCCTTAATATGATTATTATAGTAAAGGGAAACAAAAACGAACTTAAGCATATTTTCTTAAGAAAAAGTTACTCTCTTATACTAAAACTATATAAAGCACAAACCGTAAACTCAAATCGTATTAAACCTATTCGTAATATATTCGATCCGGTAGCTTTTCTTAAAACCGAATCCGAACCAAACCTAAAAAAGATCTAACACCCTTAATTAGCTCCTAATACTTAAGTAAATAAGAGAAACAAAGGACATACATCGGCATTGGTAAAAAGGATCTCAGAATGTCGCCAGCTGATGTCGCCTGCATAGCGTTCAAACAAGCATATCATATTAGGTTGAACAATGGGTGTGCCGTCTGAAGAGGCGAAAACACCGTCTATGTAGTAAGCATTTCGAGGGCAATCGTTGAGGGGCACGAGCGGCATGGCTGTGGGTCCTAAACCGAGCTCGCCTGCATCCATATAACCTTTGTAGTACCATCCTTCCTCGGGATCCATGTACGGTACAAACAACTCCGATGGGAACCCTTTGTACATCACACTTCTTGGTTCACCTGCTCTCTCCACATAAATAAACATCATGCGTGAGACGCAAGTTTTTCAAAAAAGGATGGTTGTTAAATTTCAAAAAAAGAACCATTTAACCTAAAATACTTTTCATGACAAAGGATTGTAGTTATATTTTATGTTTTTATTGGTCAACATAGATTTATACCATGTTTATGTATATATTTGAATTATGGTGTTATATACCTGTCTCGGAGTCACGAACCGTGGCCTGAGATATGATCATACCGGCTCGTTGGTCTGCTTTAACATGGAAAACCCAATTAGCCCACTTAACCAAATGTCCATCTTCGACCCTAAAACTAGGACCATCCGGTTGCTCCATCGAAATCGGGTTAATTCGATCCATATGCACCGGTTTATTCTGAACACCAAACCGGTATTCTGTACCCGAGGATTTGGGAATCGGAATTGGGCCTTTATCAACGATCTTGATAACCTCCAACTTGTCTAGGTCGACCGTTACATAAAGACCTTCGAGTGGTCTCATAAAATAATTAGTAGTGCCTTGTAACGTGTAACATTGGACTCTTATGACTCTACGTCCTTCTTCCTCATGTCCAAACCATCCCGCAAACGGTGTAATGCAAGCTAAATCGGAAAACTTAACCCCACGCGCTTCTATCGAGCGGTTGAATTCCAAGCTCTTCAAAGGAACCTGCAATATAATGTTGACATGACCAATTTTTTTAATTATTAAACCGGTTAGTAAGAGTGGAATCTCCGGGTAAAGTCTTGTAACTGTTGGTTTAAGGTTTGTGAAAGTGAAAAAAAGTCTATATGCACTAAACTAAAAAAATGTGACCAAAAACTTTAGATCTGTTACAAAAATCAAACTCTTGAATATTGAATGGAGCTCATAAGTCATTCAATCACTACCATAAAGTAATGGAATAGTTTGGTGTAGTGGAATGGTTTGGAGTAGTAGAATGGTTTGGAGTAGTTGAATGATTTGGAGTAGTTGAATAGTTTGGTGAAATTATTTGGTACTATAAATATGCTCTTCCACTCCATTGTAAGATACACCATTGATTCACTTAACAAAGAAATGTATAGTTTCTTCCCACATTATTACTCTCTCTCCCTTATATTTCTATCTCTTTAAATAATTTTCATTATTATACCATTTACAACATAAATGATCGATAGAAAATTTACGATACATTATTTTTCTTAATTATAACAAGATCAGTTTAAAATGAATAATATGTGAGTGAAATGTGAGCTCTATTTGAACTGATCAGATCCATAACGAACCAGCCAAAAATTGAACTAAAATATTGATATAAACCTAATTGATTAAAATCACTGAAATGAAAGAAAAACCACCAACCCATTAGAAAAATAAAGAGTTGATCAAAAAGTGATGATAATTGATAGCCAGACAAAAAAAAATCTATCCATAGTTTTGTTTGTTTCTGTTCTTGTAAGAGATCCCAAAAAAAACACTAAATACGCAAATGGTGAAGTTCAGATTGAACACTTCTACGTGCTGGTTAGGAAGTAAACCAAATCAAACCGGTAAGCTAAACCGGAAGTTTTCTGTTTTTCAAGAAAACCATCTATACCTGCGAAGCCGCGAAGACGTCGTTCAAGGTGAGAATCGGATACCCTGAAGTCCGGTTAACCACATCAGAAACGACCCGACCCGAATCAAGATCCACCGTTATCTCATGTGTTTGACCACCCCAATAAGCTACGACCGCAGCTCTTCGTGACGGAAGCTTATTTCCCTTTTTCCACTGAACGACACGTGTCTTCTCTGGCTCATCGAGAGCCATGGAGTGAATCGTGGCCGACCCGGAACCAAAACCCGGGTCATGACCCGAGAGTATGGTTCGAACTCTCGAGATTTCTCGCACCGTTAGTGGATCAAGTGGATGATGAGGCTTTTCTGAAGAGTGATCAACATGGACTTTAGGATTCGACCCGAGAGTTTTCCGGACCCGGGTACCGAACAAGAAGCCTGAGTCGGGTCCCAAAACCCAAGAATAGGTGGCGAAGATAAGGAGAAAGCTGAAGAACAAGAGAGAGAGGCGAGAAAAAGATGGTTCTGCCATCGTTTGAGTGAGAGCTTTTGACTATCTTTCACAAAGTTACTTATAAAAAGCTGAGAGAACAGATAAATAATTACTTAGTCCAGTCGAGCAACATGTTAAAGAAATAAACAATAATGAAGGTTTTTTAAAGTCCTATACGTTTGATCGCATCTATGAGATATGTTACTAATTTATTTTAGGGATTATTGTCTAAAATGTCCTTTTTTAAAAAAAACTTATAAAAATACCCTTTTTGAATAGTTTACGGGGATGTGTCTTTAGTCAAATGGTTAAGTCCATTTGTCTCCGCCTTTCCCAACGGAGTTCGACTCCAGTAAGTCGCGTTACCCTTCGTAGTAGGGATTGGCTATGGATCGGACCTTGTCGATCCAAAGATGTCAAAAAAAAAAAAAAAATAGTTTACGGATTTTGCCATTTTTTAACACTTAAAAATGTACGTATTTATGATCTTTTTTACAAAAATACGTACATTATACCAAATACTAAACCCTAAGAACAAATGGAACCGACTAAACCCAAACATAACGAATGAAACGCATGTTAAATCATATTTTTGGAGCCTAAAAAGGGACAAAATCCATAAACTATTCAAAAAAGGGCAAAATCCATAAATACCATTATAAAAAAGGGCAAAATCCGTAATTCTAACCATGCAATTGGTTTAGGCTATTTGTTTTATAAAATGTTCTTGTCATTGCAAATGATATAAAACTAATGTAAACACACAAAAAAATACTGAAAAAAAAAAAAACTATTTGGTTTAAGTTTGGTTCGACTATACTAGTTTGTAATTAAATTTTAATCAAGTTTATATAGTCATGACTAAGTACGATCGCATCTGTGAAATCATTTATATATTAACTCTAACCATGTGATGCCGAGAGTTTACCTTTAGGGTCTGACTGGTTTAAACGCAGCGGTTGCGGTTGCGGTTGCGGGAGTTTGCGGAAGCGGGCGGTTGCGGTTTCAAGCGTTACCAAGCGTTTTGAACGACTGGTTTAGCGTTTGAAAATGGATGCGTTTGCGGGAGTTTTATGACTGGTAAATCAGCGGTTGCGGTAGCAGTTAAATAAAAAAATGACCAAAAAAAATAAAAAATATTACAAAAAAAGAAATAAAAATACTAATATATTATTATGATAATATTAGAAAAATTGAACATGCTTAATAATTAAAACCATAAATAAAGTACTAAATAGTTATTCAAAAATAAAGAAATTTTGTAATAAGATAGTATTTTATACTGGGTTAACACCAAAAATTGCATCAAGTAATGAAGCAAACTGTAAATAACGTTGAATTCAATCAAAAAGCAAGTGATTTTCTATTCGAGAAAATAAATCGAAACATATATTCAATCAAAAAGCAAAGCAATACATAATGAAAAGAAAAAAAAAGATGCTAAGAAAAATATTCAAAGAGTTACACATGAGGTGATGAATGAATAAAATGATATATGATACTTACGTTTGGTTCTTGATTTTCATCAGTTTGGGTGGAAGACATTGAAAAAATAAAATTTTAGAATATTGATTAGGGTTTATGATGAGAACGTGATACAAAGATGAAAGATACATATATGATAAATATATTTTATAATAATTATAAGTAAAGGTTTGTTTGTTTTTTTTTTTTTTTTAAATCCAACCGCTACCGCCCGCAACCGCAAACGCTTGCGGGAAAGAGCTTTTGAAATTCAGCGATTTCGAGCGGTTTGAAGCGGTATGGAGCGGTTTCTATGATTGGTACCAACCGCTAACAACCGCAACCGACCGCTAGCAACCGCTAGGAGGGTGCTAGCGGGAGAACCAATCAATCCCTTAATTAGACTGCGTTTGATCGCATCTCTAAATATATTTCTTATTGGTTTTTGAAATTTTTGATGAAGTGAGAACTTAGATGGTGAGAGAGGTTATCCATTCAATTAAAACAGCATTTAAAGACTAATTAGCTACTATAATATGAATAAGTTTAATTTAATTCTTACTTGAAAGTTGAAACTTTTCGTTTTAATTTAGGTTTCGTTTTAGCACTTAAATTTTGTCACATAATAGTTGTCGTTTAGATTTTCAATGCATATGTTTTTGTAAAAATTCTAGTTTTATCCTCACAGTTTTAATGTCTTTACAAATAAATTTTTTTTAGAAAATATATAAATAAGGATGAAATAGAAAAATTAATTGTTTTTTTAATTCGTGTATAAAAACTTTAAACGACATATAATTCAAAATAAAGGGAGTACGATATTTGGTTCTCGCTTCCAATTCGGTGATGCACACCACCTTGGTAAGCTTAGCTAAAGTAGACTAGCCAAAAGCCAACGTACTATGTTACTCACTCATGGCGTGATTGATTCTGTCTTAAAGTAAAACCGAAGTGAACATTTGACCCATTCTTGTCTTTTTATAATCTCTCGGTCACTTGGTCTTATCTTCTCTTAATAGGACACTACGTGTCCATGTCCTCTCTCTTGCTCACTAATAAGTTCCATTATTGCATGTTTTTTTGTACAATACACCTCGAGATCCCACTTTCCTCAATTCTCATAGTATATTTTTACATCCAGCTCATAATTCAGGTTCTCTTGTTCCTTAAACGATTCATAATAATAATTAAATAAAAAGGTCTCCTTATTACTCCACTTTGAACTTCTAATCGTTTACAAATCAGTGGATCACCCTGCCCGTATGGGTTCCAAGTTCCAACAAGTCCAGTCCTGGATCCTTAATCGTGAACCAAACCAATCTTAATTTAAAAAGATTCTCTCCCTCACTGGTTTCGCTATAGCGGATTCAGACAGGCCTGATCAAGTATGAAATTTGCAGTTTGAAATAACAAGTTGTATTGAATCGTGCAAATAGACCCCCAAGATGCTAACGGTATTAAGTGATCAATGGTTGATTAAACGCATCGTTTAAGTTACACATGAAAAATATACCCCCTCTTTATCCTATCGGAATTTCACCTTCTAAACAAAACCCAAACGAGCTAGACACGAACCACAAAACCTCCACAACAAGAACTCAAACCAAAAGTCATTGCAACACAATGTCCAAAGAGTCGAGACACTTGTTGCTTAGCAATGCCAATAAGAAGAACAACACAGAAGAAAAATATATAAACACGGACGAAAAGTAGAAAAGAGAGACACTTTAATTATGTGTTTCATTGATCTACACACATCAAAATAAATAATGTTTTCATGGAAACCCAACACACATAGATTAGACCATTCTATTTCATTCCAAAGATAACTCAATATCAAACGCAAGATCTCTAATACCATTCCAAAGATCCCAATTTCCCAACCAACAAAACAATCACACTAAAAAGAGCAACGATTTGATGCAGAACATGAAGAACCAAGTTCAAGCACCAATGAACGTATACAAGATTTGCAGAATTCAATACAAAAAAGGAACCATCTTTTCGAATAACACAGCTTAATCCAACTCTATTAAATTACATAATCATAAAACAGATAAAGAGATTTATCAATTCTAACACCAAATTTCCAATTACATTAACAATTAAACATTTTATGAACAAACCCTAAGATTCGTTCTAATCCAAAAATTCAATTTTCAAAATTCGGATCTTACTTAGCAACCATTCTAGCAATAAAATCCTCATAACGGATCTTACCATCAGATCCAACATCAACCTCTTTGATCCACTCATCGAATTCACTCGGCAGCAATTTCTCACCGATACTCGTAAGTATATGCCTCAGATCTGCAACAGCAACGAATCCAGTACCTTCTTTATCGAGTACTTTGAACGCATCACGAAGCTGGCGATCAAACGGTTCTGTTTTCAGATGTTTCGCCATTAGATCTATGAATCGATTGAAATCGAACGGAGACGAGAGATTCTCCGTCGCGATGATTGATTTGAGTTGTGATTCTGTTGGATTGCCGCCGAGTGATCGCATTAAGATTCCGAGCTCCGATGGTGCGATTTTGCCGTCGCCGTCTGTGTCGAAGAGCGTGAATGCTTCCTTCATTGATGAGACTTGGTCGTCGCTCAAACCATCCTTGACCATCATCGATTCGGTTCTTCCGGGCTTTCGAATTCGGGTCGGATCTCTTGTGGAGAAATCAATCAAATCGTCTTTGCTCCTGAGTACGAGTGTGTAGCGTTTTTTTATTTGAAGGAGAGAGAGAGAAACGACCATACGTCGTCGTCTTGAACTGGTTAAAGATCTATGGTCCATTTTTATGGGCTTAGAAAGCCCATGTGAAGATTCTTATTGGGTAATTTTGTGATGTGGAATATATTATGTGATCTTCTATTTATGATTTTTAATTTTGCTTTTTGATTGGTAAGATACTTAAGATTTTGGATTCTAGATGAAAATTTTCAAAATTATGTTTGAATGGAATGAAGTAATGGGAACTGATGGAATTTAAATTTAATTATGTGCATATATTTTTATATACTATTATTGGAAACGCTCATGTAAAACGTGATTATACTGACAAACAAAAACCAATTATATTGATAAACTGTGGAATCACAAAATAATCGTAAATTTATGTGTAATCATGTTTTGTTTTATCAGATTAAGCTACTTTTTTTTTTTTTTTTGACAGTTATCAGATTAAGCTACTTAAAAAATTGTTTACCATTAGAGCAATTGACAAAAATAGCACTACAAAATTAGCATTACAACAGCAATTTACAAATAAGAGACGTAGACGTAGCTGAATACAATTCCATCTAAATCTATTTTAGTACTAATCAAAGATCTGTCGATTCAATCTTGCAGCTTTGAGTGAAGAGATCATCGATTCTCCTTCTTGAGATAAACTCTTCCTTTCGACGAGTACAAAACCTAACTTCTCACGCAAGTATTCATTTCTCAACTCATCTCCCTCCATTTCCCCAAGCTCAATAGCTTGCCTTCTTGTCACTAAACCGTAAAGCCAAAGACCCGATTCAGGTTTCTCCATTTGGATCCTAACTCTCAACAATGACATGGATTCAGGTTCATCCGAATTTGGAGTAAACAAAACCGAGAAATTCCCGAATGACAGATCGGGTGTCTCGAATAACTGATCCAAACAGCTGTCTTCTTCTTCGTCGACCTCTTCTTCTTTGTCGATGCAGGTCTGGTTAGGATTTGAAGCCGAAGATGATGCTCTTCTTCTAGCAACTCTAAGTATGTTTGCTGCTTCTCTCATTCCACTTAAGAAGGCTCCGTGCATTGTTGCTGGATATTGTCTGTTAGTAGCTTCACCTGCAAAGAACACTCTTCCGTCACCGACACTCTCAGCTAAAATGTCGTAATCATCTCCTGATGATCCGACCGCAACATATGAGTAAGAACCGTATGAAAACTTGTCTTGGCCCCATCTGGAACAGAGTGCTTGAACCGGATCAGGAACAACAATTCCTTTCGGGTGATATATTCCGCGTAGTATCTGCAAGACCCGTTTAACGGAATCAGTAGGCGACAATGACTCGAATCTTTCTGCAGCGTCACCAGCTACAAGTGCTACAAGTAATGGACCACCGGAAACAGAAGAATAGCTGTAGAACAAGAAGAATTCTCCTCTAGTGGACGAATCTTCGGTTAATCGCCCAAAAGTATCAATCTCTTCGCCCCAGAAGTTATACGGAAACAACATCGCCACTTTGTTCAACAATCCATATCCGAGTCTCTGAATCGCTTCTTTCTTCTTCTCAGGAAGCTCGGGATAAAACTCGATCGCACCTTTCTTCAGAACACCTAACGGAACCGTGCAAAGAGCCATATCGCAGTGGAATTCTTTGTCTCCTGCGTAAACAAGAACCCCGTTGCTTCCATATCTGATGCTCTCAACTGTATTCCCGTAAAAAATCGGAAGATTTTCCGCTAACGCATGTACAAATATTTCGTTCCCACCTGGGATAAAACAATGGTCACCGCCCATCTCATATGGATCATCTTGATCCCAATACGCCATTGACAGATTCCCCAACAATGTAGCATTTGCATATTCCAAGTTTGCTAAATGCCAATCTAAGAGCATTCTCTCTTGCTGATCCTCAGCAACCCCATAAACCAATCGAAATGTTTCAAGCGCTTCTCCCAAAGGCACATCTACTGATTTATTCTCCTCTATCAACGACTGTCTAAGCTTACAAACTCTGTCCAACAACTTATTAAACGATGCCTCAATCTTAGAATCAACACCAGCATCAACAAGCTCTCCACTGGGAAGATACAAAGGACAAATATCTCTGACCTTATGAAGAGGCAAACCTAGTTGCCTCGCCAAAACCCCAAGCGGATTCCCATTAATACCGGTGAGAACACTTCCACCAACATCAGCCATTGCCTCAACACCATCACCACCTTTCATCTTACGAGTCTTAACCCGCCCACCCGGTCTATCTCTACCTTCAAGAACCAAAACCCTAAACCCCATTGACAACAATTGTCTAGCAGCCACCAAACCAGCTAAACCCGCCCCAACAACCACAACATTAGGCGGCTCTACGCCATCAAACGACCTCAATTTCGCCTCTTTAATAACCGGAGCAAGCCCGAAGTTAATATAACCATGCTCAAGAAGGAAATTGTAAGCTGTATCCACTAAGTTTTTGTGTTCAGCACGTATAGACTCAAGCGCATGATCTCGCGTTAACCAATTCGATACATTAGATCGCCACAGAGCGATAATGTGATTCCTCACGACAATGTAATTAGCCTGATCTTTACCTCCGATGATCGAAACCACATTCGCTTCGATTTCTTCCTCCGTGAGCGAATAAACCGGAAACCCTACCGACATTGCGATTAGCGCTTCTGAATCCACCTCTTTGCCGACGCTAGTGCGGCGGTTTCTGGAGAAAGCTGGGTTCGCGTTAATCTCAGTGAAGAAACGCTTCCTACGGCGTCGTTTTCTTACCCTAGGACCTGGCTCCGCCGCATTAGGGTTTTGTGATTGTTGCTCCGTTACCAGATCGGAAGATTCTTCTTCACCGGGCGATTCTGAGATTCGTGTTTCGATAGTAGGAGGAGGAGGAAGAGGCTGAGGTTGAAGCTCCGTTAATGGCGATTGGTCATCGAGTGAGTTTTGGCCGTCTTCTTCAATATTTTGCTCCGATTGACTCGGGGAGAGTGAGAAGTCAGTCTCCGTCGCCGACGCATCAGAAACGACGTCGTTCACTTCGTCGGCGATAAGCTTTCCGAGAGGTTCTTCACCGGGTAAATCCACAGTAGAATGGGTTTTCGGGTCTTCGGGTCGGGTTTCTTTAGTCTCTGTTGACATGCCTCTTGCTCTCTGTGTGATGATGTGAGTGACGACGAGTCTACCAAAGTGTAGTTCTTCTTTTCATAGCTAAAAAAGGAAGGTATACGGCAACGTTTGGATAATGGGCCCGAAATGTATGGGTCTTGCCCAGCCCATTTACTTGTGTTATTTGTTTGCACACGAATACCGTTTTTTAATGCGCTTATGCAAAAAATTTATCAATCAAGATTTTTCTGTATAATATTTTAATAAAACACAAAAAATGCAGAATTTGAATCGTGTTTTCGCTTAAAAGAATACAAGTGAAATTTCATAATCATTATACAAAAATAAGTGGGTATAGTTTATATATTACTAAAATATGTCAGTGAGCAGCCTCGGGGGAACGCACCGTGTTTGATGTTTTCCGACTAATGCCTGAGAGTATCCAGTTCCAGTTCCAGGATTGCTTTCATAATCTTCCTTGCCACTAGACCATTCTGCGACTTTTTACTTTGTGAATTTTCATTATGGAACTTGTGTCATTATTTCTTCACTCTTACCAATGGGGTATATAGTAGTTCAAAGCAAGAATCTTTCTTTCTTTTATAATATTGTAACAGAACTTGTACAGAGGAGATGTCAAACAAAGTGTGATCATTTTTTGCAAAATTGCCTGAACCGTAAAAAAATAATATTCCCATAATAAAACAATAATTTTGGTCTGTCGGAAAAGCTAGCGTAAATATGATACAAACACAGTTTTGCAAGCCTTGAGAAGTTGGGGAACATTTTAATCAAACAAGCATTCAATAATTAGTAGCAAGTTCGGAAATGCAATGTTGAAAAATCAGAAAAACTGAACGAACACGAGCTACCATATAAAAGTTCTGAGTAGTTGATGGATCAGAGAGTTAACCTATAAAATCTAACAACTTAACTCACCAAATCTTAAGCATTAAAACAAAAGGAGTTTACGATGATACTGGCTTTTTAACAGAGCAATAATCAGAAGAAGCGAGAAAAGAGTACCTTGAACATTACGCTGGATATGCCAGAGGAGAAAGGCGATGAATATGGAGTATTAGTCAACGAGAAGATCCTCCGCCGAGTGTAAGGTTTCGCCGCCAACGGTCGCCGTGGATCGTTTGTCGTGACTGCGACATGTCATTAGTTCTTCTTTCTCTACCTGCTGACATTGTCTTAAGATGTCAGAAATTTGTCTCAAGAATGAGATGATTTGCAACAAAACGACCAACATCTCTCTCTTTCTCATTATGAGCTCAGTTCTCAAAATCAAGATATCTACAAATATAACCTTAGATAACGGTGATTCCAAAATAGATGGTTTCTCAAACAAGAAACATTAGCTTCTTACCAAACTTAAAAGCAGAGAAGAGTCTGAATCCACCTCTGGTTCTTCTCTGCTTCATAAACACCTTGAGACTTCTGGTAATTTCCTAACCGAGAGACCCTGCAAAACAGAGAAGAGATGATTTTAGACAGCATTAAACAATGTTATGCGTATACATTGAAACTGACGATACTTTAGTGACTAGTGAGAAGAAGAGAACATGATTATTTAACAAAGACAAAAAAAAAAAAAAACATAGTAACACTTTTTTTTTTTTTTTTTTTTTTTTTTGACATAGTAACACTTACCAACCTTAAAGCAGAGTTTTGACTACAAGAAAGCTTTGGATGAAGCTTTGCTTTCTCTCTAGTCACACAAGAAAAAAGAGAAGACTTTGCTTTCTAAAATACGAGAATGGTAAGTGATAATAAAACATAAGTTGAAGAAGAAGAGATGAGTGTGGGAAGTATTGTTGTGGGCACGAATCACTTTTATAGGCAGCTTGGATTTGTTCTCTCAACGGCTACTTTTCTAACGTCTATATTTTTTTACCGTTGTCAATTTTGTGTTTCAAATATATTACCGTTTGTGAATGATTTAACACTTTGACACAATAGGCCCAATGGGCCTAGAAAAACCCAAACAAACCCTTATGAACAAAAATGTTGAGACACTATTTGTTCTTTCAAGGGCTACTTTCCTAACGTCTATATTTTGTTTAGTGTTGTAAATTTTGAGTCTCAAATATATTACCTTTTGTGATTGAATTGACACTTGTTGGAAACTAAAAATGTCTAAAATTTATCATGATATTATTTTGTTAATACAATAACCAAATTATTTAAATCAAATTGCTCTTTAATAACCAAATAGCGGTAGTTTAGTATGAACTGTACCAAAAAAAAAACCTTTGATCGATCTATACAAATATTAGCTTATCGATTCGAAAATGATCTGAAGTGTACCAAAGAGTTTGATCGAATATAAAGAGAATAATACAATAAGATTTAGATTTATGAAACCAAAAGCTAATAAGATAATCTATTTCCCTTCAAAGTATCAGTCGAATCCCAACAGATATTAACATCATAGATCATATTTTTCCAGTTTGATCACTGATTTATTGAATTTAACAATTCATATTAATTACATCATATGTCCACGCCACATGCCATTTAAAGTCATATATAGACAGGTTCCTTATCACAATGCTAAGACCAAGGGCAATGGGGCATTCGTTTGGGGGTGTAAGTATTGAAAAAAACTTATTTAATGCAAAAGTTGTCTAAAAAAGAGAAAAGAGAGAGAGAAAGAAGAGAGAGGGAGTGTGTGAGTGTTACACCCGGATGTGAAGAGAGAGACAATTTTTTGCTTTTTTTATTACCACTTACACCCGTGAAGATGCTCCACTGCCCATGCCCTAAGGAAGAACCAAACGTCAAACTTTGTTCTCTTAGCTCTATTATATATATTTTGTATATAATGCAAGAAAATATTAGGTCTACATGGTTCAATCTGGTTGAGTTACTGAATTTGATAAAAGTTTTGTAATTTCCTCCGTTAAAAAAATCGTTAAGCGTTTGAGGTGGACCTAGCGACTAGCGAAAAAATCAGAGATTGAACGGGATCTAATTATGATTAGTTTTTATCAAGTTTTAATGTTTTGAAGATATATATATATATATATATGTATGTATATATCAAAATATAATATATATTTATATATGTATATATATAGATACTCCCAGGAAAAAAAAAACATGGATAATCTAATTTTTAAGGGCTATTGTTGCACTTTGATTGTTAAAAATTAATCAAGCAGCAATAGTATGGAATGTGTATATTATCGAAAATCTTTTAATCATCCAATAGAAGAGTAATTTTGAGAAAGTGGTAAACAAAGTGGGAAACATGACCTAATATTCTTTTAATCAAACCTCTCTAGGGTCGTTTTCGAAATGGAAAAAACAAGACAATTCTTCTTTGTGCCCCAACCCCATCATTAGGATTGATTTATGGGAAATAATTTGGTATTACTAGAAATGACACAATATAGTATCTAACAGCACGAAATAACAATTTTGATGTAACTGCAACCATGTTATATTCAATTGGAATTGACTGGTTTAAATTTGGGATGGACGTTTGTAATCATACCTAGCTTTTGGAAGGTCCGGCTTGGCCATACAAAGATCATGGAAAAGATGATGAGGGGCTGATTATGTTTATTTGCTATGTTTTACGTTATTTCTTTTATGAATCTTGTGTTTTGACATTATGGTCTTTTTCTTTTAGTTTTAATGAAACGTTGGAAAAAGAAAAACTTGAATCCCAAACAAATATACCATTGATAATCTATTTCTTTTAGGGCAATAGTAACACTGATCGATACAATCAGTCTAGCAGCAGTAGTGTGGAATGTGAATTTGATTAAAAAAAACTCCTTTCATGCATCATCCAATAGAAGAGTAAATTTAAGAAAATGGGGAACATAACCTAATATTCTTTTGATCAAAACCTCTAGGGTCGTTTTTGAAATGGAAAGAACAAAACAATTCTTCTTTGTTCCCCAATCCCATTATTAGGATTAATTTGTGGGGAACAAATACATTTGGTACTACTAGAAATGGCGCAATTGATGTATATAGTATGCACACTTAGAAATTATGATCTCATCATGCATGTGATAAAATAAAAACATAACCTAAAACCGCCAAATTATCATTTGGGCTCTAGGAAAATCTTTGATCAACATATTTTGTTAAAATGTAGATTGATATTTTGAACAAATATTCTATAAAACAGTAGTTAGTTTTCGCAAAGTAGCATATAACCTTATGCTTTGTCTACCATGCGCACGTCATATTTGCATACGACGACCTTATGAAAAATTAGATTAGCAAAATATTAAGATCTTGATATCGTTTAAAAGATTAGTGCATGTTATCGTTTAAAAGATTAATTAGTGTACAAGGAAACAAAAAAAAAACACATTAGCAGTTTATATAATAAGATGGATAAGGAATCTGAAGAAACTATCAAAAGTATCGTGTATCAGCATCAGAAAATATCAAAATGAAAACATCCACTTAACAAAAAAACATTAATATCGCAAATGCATCTAATGGGAAAGCAACATACATCAACAATGTACGACCAAGTATATTATATATATATATATATATAGCTGTTTTTGAGTTCATATTTGTGTCTTTGTAATATGTGCACGTATTTTCATATATACGATTTGTACACGTATAATATATATATTTGTTTTGTAAGATGTCATCAGATTATCCAATTCTTAGTTTCTGTAAGATCTTGAACCGATAATTTTGTTAAAATATTAAACCGACCGCTTTCTGAAAATTTATGTGAGTTTTGCTCAAATATTAAACCGACGGATTGTTGAAAATATATGTAACGATTAGTATGATGTTATATTCGAATTTGAGTATTACCTGACCATTTTTTTTCATAATCAAACTTAAATTCATATACATGTTTTATACGTTGTGTATGAATACGATCAACTTTATTGATTCTTTAGCAAATAAATGACCAAAAGGTCCAAAACTAGTTGCCGACCAAATCCAAAAATATGTCCAAAACCATCAACGGAAGAATCGTTCTAATTTTGGTTTAACAAAGGACGTGGGTGGTGGAAATATCATTAACTTAATTCAACTAACTAACATCTAATTATATATGAAATTTTTTTTACGAAAATAAATTTAAAATATGAAGAATAATCACCAACAACCTACTTAGTACGTGGAATATATTCCATAAATACTAATATACATAGTACCAAGTCAATTCAATTAGGGAGAGTTAGTATCTATTGTACCAAAGCAATGGACAATTCAAGAATTTGTTAGTTAAATATAATATTTTTTAAGCCGGTTCCGACCACTAATTAAAGATTAAGTAGTTTAATCTCGTTTTAATCCAAATCCAAAACTCTAACACGTCGGATTCTCCTGGACAAAATGTTTAATGTCAACGATCTAACAACGCAACCTATCTTTCAAGAAAAAGAAACAGAGAATAAATCATCTTTTTGATAAATTAGTTATGCACCCCTCGTTTTATGATATTTTACAGATTTAACCACATTATATTATTTTCTACTCTATGTCAAAATATTGGATTCTATCTACTACTTACTACAAGTCAAAAATACAAGATCTATTTTGCTTGAAGAGTTTTATTTATTATATTCCATTATAAATAAATTGAAAACTTCAAGTACTAGTTTAGATTTAACTATGGAATGTTAGTTAAAACTTAAAAGAGAAGAAACACAAGTTTGACTAGGATGTTAAATGATTAGTGAAATACTTTATCTGAACATATAGAGTTTCCGAAAAAGCAATCATGAAATGTTAAAGGGTATTAGTAGATTAATGGTGTTTTAGGTATTCTATATATTTTTTTTGTAACTGAAAAATTTGAACCAATCTTCGAAACCTGTGAAAATATTTTAATTATTTAATGTGTCTATAGTTAACCAATTCGTGGTGGTCTAGTGGTTAAATAACTCATGAAAAGATCAAAGGTTTAACGTTCTAGTCTTCCCACTATATTTTCAATCAAATTTATACGGAGATTGATATGGGTTTTGTTGTAGGATAATGGCTAATCATAATTAAAATCACAATGAAATACTCATTCATCCACTAAATCACCATGAATTAGTTTTTATTTGTGGTAGTTAACTAAGTTACATAACATTTGTGCCAAAACGAAATAGACCAAAAGTATAAGGGGCAATGTTCGACTATTACGCGCAAACACTTTTTCCCAAAAAAACATATCAACACAAAGACTTTTCTCATGTTCTCATGTGTTGTTTATAAAAGCAACACATCGTTTGGAGGTTTTACGCTAGACTCTGTATCTGACCCAACGAAGACGTTAGAAAACAAACAAACTAACAAAGAGAAGATGAAATTGATTTGGTCACCGGAAACTGCATCAAAGGCTTACATCGACACCGTTAAATCGGTAAGTTCATTTCCTCTGTTCATTAACTCCATGACTTTTGAAACGTTTTCAAAAAGATTTCATACTTTTTCAAGAAGTAAAGCTTCTTTCGATCGTTTTCACATTTCTCAAAAACCCAATTATCTAGATTTGAAAGTTTTTTCGTATCCTTTAATCTTGCACGTTTTGGCCTTCTTGTAACAATTTTAACGTTTTTTTATATTATTTTTGGGCAACTTTTGCAGTGTGAAAATCTTGGAACGCCGGGAGCGGCAGAGCTAGTGGCGGCGATGGCGGCAGGATGGAACGCGAATTTAATCGTGGAAACATGGTCAGAAGGAGAAACCATAGCCATAAGCATAGGCTTAACCATAGCGAGTCGACACACAAACGGAAGACACATTTGTATTGTACCAAACGCAAGATCACAAACTGCTTATCTTCAAGCCATGGCAGAACAATCTTGCTCAAACTTGCCGGAGACGATTATTATGAATGAGGAAGAAGAAGAATTGGAGCACACGATGCTGACGCTACAAGGAATCGATTTCTTGGTAGTTGACTGGGATCAGAAGGATTTCGCAGCAAACGTTTTGAGAAACGCTGTGTTTGGAAGCAGAGGTGCGGTTGTGGTATGCAGAAGCGGTTACCGAAGAAGCACTTCATGTTTCAGTTGGACAAAAGCATTTAGTGACCGGAATGTTGTAAGAACAGTGACTCTTCCAGTTTCCGGTGGTCTAGAAATCGCTCATGTTGCTGCAGCAAGAAGCTCTGGGAAGAGTGATAACAACAACAAAAGAAAATGGATCAAGCATTTTGATCAAAGATCAGGAGAAGAACATGTTATTCGAAAGTAAAACAAAAAGTGTGGAATGTTATGTTTGATACTTTTTTTGTTCATAATTTGTGTAAGAGTGGTTTGTACATAAAATCCAATATACTGCAATATTTATTGGAAGATTTGATTTTTGTGTTACATTAAATTCCAAGAAAATGACACAATCATCTAAGTTAAAAGCTTTAGAATCAACCTGGACGTCATTGTATGGTTTTAAGTTTAATCATCGTAACTACCACGGCTTCTTCTCGAAGATTTCTTGTCTGAAAGAACTTTTTTGCTTTTAAGTCGTTTATTGTCAGCTTTCTCAGCCCTGAAATGTAAGAATTCACAACGTCAAGATTTGAGGATTGAGAGTTAACACAATGGAATAATGAAAAACGATTTGGTTTCGTTGGATCTCACAGCTTTACAATTTTCTTCTTCTGTTCTTCTGATGGTGGAGGTGGAACATACGAAGCCGCATTAATTATCGCCTGTTCAGTTATGTGATTAAACCAAAACATCTCCGCTTTAGATAAAACGAAACACACCATGACCAAAAGACGCGATATTCAATAGAGCCATTTGGTATATTACCTGTAGTTTTTCAAGTGCATCGTCAATGTTGCCTCTGCAAGGGAACACACGGTCAGAAATGGAGAAGTTATTGAAAATGGTATATGATAGAAAATATTATTACGTTACTGACTTCTGCGTTCTGGTTTTGGTTGAAGATATCACAAGTTCACCGTCCTTGTTGATCCGATTCTTCTCCTGTTGACAAACAACAAAAAGCTAAATACACAACGCATAGAAACAAAAAGCCAAATACTCTATTGTCCTAAATTTTGGCCCCTACGAGATCAAGATTCAAACATCAAACAACATTTTCACAATTATATCTACTCTCTCCATGGAACACGATAGAGATAAAACTCGCACTCCTAGTTTTGAAAAGGGATGATAGAGTAAGAAAACAAACCGTTTGTATGATTTTCTCTCTGATCCTGTCACTTAGCCAGTAGGCGTTCTTCACATTGAAGCGCATATCTACTTTGGTATTCACTGCAAAATAATTGGTACATGTGAAAGCATTGAGGCATCAAACAGCCAAAAACTACAATGCAAAGAACAGTTAAAAAGGCGCAAGAAGAAGGTCACACATTTGTTCACATTCTGGCCTCCAGGACCACCACTTCTAGCAAAGTTAAGTGTAACATGGTCTGCAAATACCAAAAACAGATACACATGAAACTATGAGCACATCCAATTCTACAAAACAGAACTCCAGATTGAATTTGAGATTCAAAAGTTCATTGGCTCTAATGACTTAAACTCAGTTCTCTCGAAAGTTCAAAAGTCATCAAAAAGTAGAATTCTCCTTAACCAAAAGCTTACCAAGAGTGATTTGAGGAGTAGGTTCATTGCCAGCGGAATTAGCTCTCTCTTCAGCTTCATGAAGCATCTGTTGAACCTGAGACAACCGTGAAGAGACTTTACGATCACCATTGCTTCCACCGGAGGTAGACGCCACACATCGGATGGATCCAAATCGGGAATTAGAGTGAATTGGAGCAATTAGGGGAGTGAGACGGAGACATGGCAAAAGAGATTGACACGATTTCGATGAAGAGTGAAGGAGAAGTGGATGATGGCTAAACTCGCGTAGAATCATGTTCGTCATCGTTCTGATTGCCGCCATTTTTATTCTTTCTGGGCACTGAAGAAGATTCTTCCGATGTCAAATGACGATCTCGAGAAGAAGAAGGGCGACCCTAATTTTACGTGGCTCCCAATTTCCGGTTTACGGTTAATAAGAAACCGTAACATTTTTTTGGTTTATCTCTTTATATTTAAAACGATCCGGTCCAAGTCAAAATTCAAACGCGATTTCCCGGTTCATAACTTCCGGTTCCCGTCAACGCAATTACAACTAACCAACCAGTGGTGATAGTAGCAAGTACGGAGTATCTCGCGACAACTGAGCTTTGTTGAGGATGGAACTGAGCTTAAAAGCTGAAACTTTTTCCTCTACATGAACACATAAACAATTCATTTTCAATCGTAGTAGATGGAATTACAAAAGGGAAATGCCTGTGTCTTCCAATTCTTTCATTCATCCTCCAATTGATGATCCTGCAAAGTGCAAAGCAAACACACCAAGCTAATCAGAGAGGGTAAGATGGAATATGTATCTTCAATTTGACTTAGACATTCAGTTGCAAACTTCTCCAGATGCTACACTAGAAGCTCTGCAGCCAAAGCTGTATATATATAAATTCATCTCCAAAACTCAAAAGGAAAGTACAAAAGTGAGTAGAGGACATACCACACTCTTCTGCAGATGCTCCAGCATTGCCACTGCCTTTTGTAGTTCCTCCTTACTACATACACCTGCCAGCATACTGCGGAAGGTAATGGTATCAGGACACACACCGCTAGAAACCATCTCCTGGAAAATGTCTAGAGCGCCATTAAGATCACCCACTTGACAAAACCCATGAATCAAAGTGCTGTAAGTAACTGTATTAGCAACAATTCCTCTTCTTGACATCTCGCTGAAAAGCTCCAATCCGTCATCAACCCTTCTTGCCTTACAGAAGCCATTAACGAGTGTATTAAAAGTCACAACGTCTGGGGAACATCCCTCACTAGCCATCGAATCGACCATCTGTCTGGCCTCTTCTAGGCGGTTCTGCTTGCAGAACCCATCTACCATTGAGTTATATGTGACAGTATTGGGAACTAATCCTTTACAGAGCATTTTCAAGTATAGATCTTCAGCCTTTAAAAAGTTCCTTTCTTTAACAAATACGCCGATCAATATATTGTAAGTTTGGATACCAGTTTCCACACCATTGAGGGGGAGACTATTGACCAAATCCCATGCTTCGTCCACCTTATTACCCTTGCACATTCCATTGATGATGATGATGTTATAAGTAGCAGTATCAAGATCCATCTTACTTGTCTGGAAAACCTTAAACATTTCCAATGCCTTTTCTAGGTTTCCATTCTCGCAGAGACCGCCCAGCAAAGTGTTACAAGTTACAATATCAGGGGACACACCCTGAGAAATCATCTCCTGGAAAAGGTCTTGAGCAGCATTAAGATCCCCCGCTTGACAGAACCCGTGAATAAGAGTGTTGTAAGAAACTGAATCAGGAACTAATCCTCTTCTTAACATCTCATGGAGAAGTTTAATTCCATCATCTACCCTCTTAGCCCTACAGCATCCACCTATGAGAGTATTAATAGTGATTACATTCGGAGAGCCGCCCTTGCTAACCATCAAATCAAAAATGTGCTTCGCATCATCTAGACGACTATGCTTGCAAAATCCATCGATCAATGAATTATATGTGATTGTATCAGGAAATATATTCCTTCCAAGCATCTCACGGTATAATTCTTCAGCCTCAGAGATCTTTCCTTCTTTGACAAATGCATTGATCAATGCATTGAAAGTTACAACATCAGGGTCGACATTGCTCTCGATCATATCACGTAGCAGTTGCTCCGCATCAGTCCATTTACCATAACTACAACAACCGTCTATCATACAATTGTAGGTGAGAACATTGGGAAAAATTCCTTTGTCATGCATTTCAGTGAAAAGATTTTGAGCCTTGCTGTGGTGCCCGTCTTTGCAAAGGCGATCAATGATGGCAGTATAGATTACAACATCGGCTTTGATGTGGCTTTCATCCATCTTCCTAAGCAGGTTCAAGGCAGAGTCAGTGTCACCCATCTTACACATTCCATTGACAATTGTTCCATACGTCACCTCGTTAGGTTGATGACCATTTTCAACCATCCGATCAACAAGAGCTTCTGCTTCGAGAACTCGACCCTCGCGGCAAAGACCATTCATCAGTGTGTTGAAGGCCACGACATCGTGTTGACATCCCTTTTCAACCATATGATCAAATAAAGCTACGGCTTCAGAGATCCTATCTTCGAGACATAAACCGTGGAGCAGCGTGCTAAAGGTAACAACACTGGGCTGGAAACCAAGTTTAGTGATCTTGCCCAATGTAGACAAAGCAAAGGGCAATTTATGAAAGCTGCAGAAACACTTAATCAGAATATTAAAGCTGTAGATATCAAATGGAATCCTCCGCAATTCCATCTTCTGATAGAGAGAAATCGCAACATCAGGTCGTTCCATTTTCACGACGACCACACCAATTAGTTTATTGAAATCAATTGCTGAAGGAAGTGGACGAGATCAAACCATTTCATCGAACAAAACAATCGCATCATCAAAGCATTTGATATAATGAGATCCACTTCTCAATTTCAAACTCTCTCCTTCAAAAGCTCCTTCGCTCAAAGAAGGCATACTCTTTTCAACCTTACTGCTTTTCTTGGCGACGCGGCGATGAACCAATCTCCTACTGAACAATCTCGCATAAACAGCAGCAGCATCACCAGAAGATGATTCAGATCTGCAAACCCTAGCCAACATATTCGCTTCGCCTAAATCTCTAAACTCTTACAAGTAACAACAAATGAGCTAACGAGTGAGTGACAGAGTGAGTTAATAACCCCTTAAAGAGTCAGAAAAGGACGAAAGCCACATCAAAGCCGATTACAATTTGATCCTAATACGGCAGCACATACAATTTGACCCACCTGAAAATACAGAAATATATGGAATAAATGATTGACATAGCCACAAAGATTACATAAGATTGAGGAACAACACAAATAAATTTGAGATCATTACACAAAATAGACATTCTTACTTGAAGTAATGGCTGGATTAAGTAAAGTCACATCTTCCTTTTTGAACTGCACAATGGCTCTCCCTAAGACCCTACTAGCATGAAATCACGCAGCTCTGCTTTGTCAATCTAAACAGAAAACACCATGATTGCACATAATTGAGTTTCTTCTAGCTTTAGATTGGGACCTCTATCAATATGCTTAAAGGCTACCTTCATGGTTGTTTGATGGCGAGAGTGACAAGAGGTCAAAGGTTGATATGTGCTGCCGAATGCTACCTGTTAAATGAGAAATCAGGAAAGGAAACTGGAACATTGAAGGGATTCATAAAATCTGAGAACAAAGTGGACTTATGATGATTAACAATACTTTAAATTCTTTCGAAATTTCTAAAATCCTATAATTTACTGAATATGGAAGAAAACAAGTATGTAACTGAGATAATGTCTACTCTATTATATAGTATTTGTTCTTGATGAGATTCAGTGTTTCCACCGTTTGAACTTATAGCTTCTACCTTATGTATAAGAGTGATTTGCACATAAAATCCAATCTACTGCAATTTTTATTGGAAGATTTGATTGTTGTGCTACTACAAAACATATCGGTTTTAGATAAAACAAACACACACCATGAAAAAGACGCAACTCAGTCATGTGGTTTTTACCTGTAGTTTTTCAAGTGCTTCGTCAATGTTGCCTCTGCAGAGGATTTCTTGAAAAAGGAATACGAAAGAGGATTTGGTTACTGACTTCTGCGTTCTGGTTTTGGTTGAAGATATCACAAGTTCACCGTCCTTGTTGATCCGATTCTTCTCCTTTGGACAAATAACAAAAGCTAAATACTTACCACATAAAAACAAACATCGCTCCATGGAACACGATAGAGATAAAAATCACAGTCATATTTTCGTATTCACTGAAAAAGAAGTGGTACATGTGAAGCATTGCAACATCAAGTAGCCAAAAAATACAATGCAAAGAATGGTTAAAAGGCACAAGAAAAAGGTCACACATTTGTTCACATTCTGGCCTCCAGGACCACCGCTTCTAGCAAAGTTAAGTGTAACATGGTCTGCAAATACCAAAGACAGAGATGAGCACATCAACGTCAATAATATGTTTCAAATCAAATAACCAAAGAAGACTAGTTTCAACACTAGCTTTCATGTAAAGTAAGCTCTAAATATTCAAATCCAAGATGTTGCAATCAGATTAAGAGCAATGAATTTAAGATTCATGTATACAAATGATCATTGGCTCTAATGACTAAACTCAATTCTCTAGAAAGTTCAAAAGTCATCAGAAGTAGAATTCTCTATAACCTAACCCTAGAGTGATTTGTTGGATTAGCCCTCTCTTCCGGCTTCATGAAACATCTGTTGCACCTGCGACAACCTTGAAGAAATTTTTTTTACCAAATTGCATTGGAACATTTTTTGACTGATGGGATATTGAAGAAGTCTGTAACTAGTTTTACTTGTATGGAATCAAAAAATAGTAAAAGAAGTCTGCATTGGTATTAGGATCTGAGGTATGGTGAGTGGTTTACCATACGGCTTCCAATTTCTGCAAAAACTGTACATGTGTGATGTATCACTATTGACCAGATGAGAATCAGTGTAATGTCGACTATATCAAAGATTGAGAGGAGATGAGTTTAAATATCTTGCGACAGCGCTCAGAAATATATCTATACTTTGATGATGAGCATGAACATATAAATATCTAGAATGAACAATAAAGTTAACTAAAAGCAGAACCATAAAAATTAATTTTCAATGTAGTAGGCGTGTAGAAAGTGAATTACATAAGCGAAATGGCACTGAATCTTCCAATTCTTTCATTCATACTCCAATTGATGATCCTGCAAAGCAAACTCATCAAGTTAATCAGAGAGATTTATTCTGGAATCTCTATCTTAAATCTGACTTAGACATTCAGTTGCAAACTTCTCCAGATGCTACACTAGAAGCTCTGCAGCCAAATTCATCTCCAAAACTCAAAAAGGAAAGTATATAGACAGGATAAAAAAATGAGTAGAGGACATACCACACTCTTCTGCAGATCCTCCAACATTGCCACTGCCTTTTGTAGTTGTTCCTTACTACATAAACCAGCCAGCATAGTGAGGAAATTAATGGTGTCAGGACACACACCACTAGAAACCATCTCCTGGAAAATGTCTAAAGCGCAATTAAGATCACCCACTTGAAAAAACCCATGAATCAAAGCGTTGCAAGTAAATTTATCAGCAACTATTCCTCTTCTAGACATCTCGCTGAAAAGCTCCAATCCGTCATCAACCCTTCTAGCCTTACAATAGCCATTAATGAGTGTACTAAAAGTCACAACGTCTGGAGAACAGCCCTCACTAGCCATCGAATCGACCATCTGTCTGGCCTCTTCTAGGCGGTTCTGCTTGCAGAACCCATCTACCATTGAGTTATATGTGACAGTATTGGGAACTATACCTTTACAGAGCATTTCCAAGTATAGATCTTCAGCGCTTAAAAAGTTCCCTACTTTTACTAATCCGCTGATCATTATATTATACGTTTGAACATCACGTTCCACACCATTGAGGGGGAGACTATTGAACAAATCCCATGCTTTGTCCACCTTATTACCCTTGCACATTCCATTGATGATGATGTTATAAGTAGCAGTATCAAGATCCATCTTACTTTTCTGGAAAACCTCAAACATTTCCAATGCCTTATCTAGCTTTCCATTCTCGCAGAAACCATCCAGCAAACTGCCACAAGTTACAATATTAGGGGACACACCATGAGAAATCATCTCCTGGAAAAGGTCTTGAGCAGCATTAAGATCCCCCGCTTGACAGAACCAGTGAATAATAGTGTTGTAAGAAACTGAATCAGGAACTAATCCTCTTCTTGACATGTCATGGAGAAGTTTCATTCCATCATCTACCCTTTTCGCCCTACAGCATCCACCTATGAGAGTATTAATAGTGATTACATTCGGAGAGCAGCCCTTGCTAACCATCAAATCAAAAATGTGCTTCGCATCATCTTAGACGACTATGCTTGCAAAATCCATCGATCAATGAATTATATGTGATTGTATCAGGAAATATATTCCTTCCAAGCATCTCACGGTACAATTCTTCAGCCTCAGAGATCTTTCCTTCTTTGACAAATGCATTGATCAATGCATTGAAAGTTACAACATCAGGGTCGACATTGCTCTCGATCATATCACGTAGCAGTTGCTCCGCATCACTCCATTTACCATAACTACAACAACCATCTATCATACAATTGTAGGTGAGAACATCGGGAAAAATTCCTTTCTCATGCATTTCAGTGAAAAGATTTTGAGCATCGCTATGATGTGCGTCTTTGCAAAGACGATCAATGATGGCATTATAGATTATAACATTGGCTTTGATGTGGCTTAGCTCCATCTTCCTAAGCAGGTTCAAGGCAGACTCAGTGTCACCCAACTTACACATTCCATTGACAATTGTTCCGTAAGTAATCTCGTCAGGTTGATGACCATTTTCGACCATCCGATCAACAAGAGCTACTGCTTGGAGAACTCGACCCTCGCGGCAAAGACCGTTCATCAGTGTGGTAAACGTTACGACATTGGGTGTTAATCCAGTTTCAACCATATGATCAAATAAAGCTACGGCTTCAGAGATCCTATCTTCGAGACATAAACCGTGGATCAGCGTGTTAAAGGTAACAACATCGGGCTGGAAACCAAGTTTAGTGATCTTGCCCAATGTAGACAAAGCAAAGGACAATTTATGACAGCTGCAGAAACACTTAATCAGAATACTGAAGCTGTATATATCAAATGGAATCCGGCGCAATTCCATCTTCTGATAGAGAGAAATCACAACATCGGGCCGTTTCATTCTCACGATGACACCCATTAGTTTGTTGAAATCAACAGCCGGATAGAAGGTACGAGATCGAACCATATCATCGAACAATTCGATCGCATCATCAAAGCATTTGATATAATGAGATCCAATTCTCAGTTTCAAACTCTCTCCTTCAAATGCTCCTCCGTTCAGAGAAGGCATACTCTTTCCAACCTTACTAGTTTTCTTGGCGACGCGACGATGAACCGATCTCGTACTGAATAATCTAGCATAAACAGCAGCAGCATTACCAGAAGATGATTCAGATCTGCAAACCCTAGCCAACATTTTAGCTTCGCCTGATTTCCGTTATCTCCAAACTCTATCCAACAAGTGAGCAAACGAGTGTGTGTGCAGGGAAACCCTTACAGGAATCAATGGCTGGAAAGCCACTTTCTGGAGAAAAATAGGCTGGAATGCCACTCTTCTATTTTATTATTATTCTACGAATTAAATATGAAGAGATTTAAATCGAGTATTATGAAAAGACCAAAAAACCAAGTTAATATCCAGCGTCAGACCCGTTTCGATATATTTGATCCAAGCCCAATTTTTAAAACTGATTATTGCGATCGAAAGCCCATCCGACTAAGCCCAACAGAGAGATAAGAAAAAAAAAAAAACAAAACGGTAACTGTTTCGTTTTTCTTTTCTCTCATTCCCGACTCTTCTTCTCCGAAAAAAGAGAAAAACCCTAAATTTTTGATTTCACATCTTCTTCTCCAATTTCTCTCTGATTTCTTCTATTTCTTCTCCAATTTCTTCGATTTCATCACGCTTATCTCTGTCGCAGTCGAATTTGCACCGCCGTTGAAATTCTGGGGAATTTTGGTATGGCTCGTGTTAAAGACGCAAAAGGTGAATATGAATCTACGGCGGCGGCGCATCCGAGAGAACCAGCGGATTCAAGTACCGTGGTCGACCCTACAGAAGAAACCGGAGATCCGAGAGAACCAGAAAATGCTGAACCTGGAAGTGAAACCGTCGGGATGCAAACTGATCCGACAGAAGAAGCAGCAGTTGATGCTTCCGAGAGTCAACCTGGAAACGAAACCGTCGAGTTTGAAAGGAATGATGTTGAAGGACAAGCAGCAATTGCTGATTCCGATATTCAAATTGGAAAAGAGAGTCCGATAGAACTGAGTACTGCAGAGGAGGAACTCGTGGGTGCATCAGAGGAAGAGGAAGAGACCGTTACTGCTCAGGTATACATTAGTTTGAGAATGGATTAATGGTATTCAAGGTACAACTAGTTCAACTAGTGAATTAGGTTGTCTTTGAATATGAGTATATATAATTTTGATGCTAGTTCTTGGTATAATTGAAGCGGAGAATATATAGGTTTGAATTTATGTGTCTTGATACAACTAGTTCAACTTATCCCGATTATATATATGTTTGAATTGTGTGTTTTGAGACAAGTAGTTCAACAACTTAAACTCAGCGATTGTGTTTTGAATATGCAGGATACATATGAGGAAGAGGATGATGCTGCTGGTAATGCTGGTGAAGAGGATGAGCATCGTGATGTTGGTACTGGTAAAGATGATATAGAGGCTGAAGAGGATGTTGGTATAGAGGAGGAGGCTGCTGCTAAAGATGGTATAGAGGAGGAGGTTGCTGAAGCTAGTAAGGACGTTGCTGGTATAACAGCTGATGATGATTATGATAATGATGATGATGAAGATGATTCCCAGCCACTTCCGCCAGAGAAGATGTGCTTAGATAGTTCAGAATACACCAAAGGGTGTAAAATAGGAACTAGGTGTAAAGTGACTGAGACAGTGAACTTGATAGAGAAAGAGTTTAAAGACGAGGCAATATGGTTCAGAAGTCACTCTCAGTTCAAGCATGTATTCCACATGCCTAGGGAGCCAAACCACATGACTCAAGGCATGTGGATGCTTATGCTGCGCACAGTTGACACAGATCTTGAGAGGGAGTGTTGGTTTGTGGTTAATGGAGTACCTATTAGGTATTCCATCAAAGAGCATGCGTTGCTAACTGGGTTTAATTGCAAGGAATACCCGGAGAAGCATGAGGAAATGGGGAATTTGAGGTTTGTGAAGAGAATCTTCCAAAGGACTGAGAAGATAAAGGCATCTGATGTATTAGCTAAGTTGAAGGGAAAGAAGAGTTGGAAAGGAGCTGATAAGAAGAAGTTAGTAGTCTTGTATTTCTTATGCAAGATACTAAAAGCAAGCTCAAAAAGTGATGGAAACATAGAATCCTTTCTCTTAAGGATTGTTGATGATTTGGATGCATGTGAGACATATCCATGGGGCAGGTATTCATTCTCAGAATGTATGAAAGGGATCCGGAATATGATGAAGAATTTGAATGGGTCTGTCAAACCTAAAGCTCAACCTAGCTTTAGTGGATTCATTGTACCTTTGGAGGTAATCCTTTGTTTTTGATGTTTGAGTATTTGAAGTTGTATATATGGTTTTATGATATTAACTGTGTGTATTTTTTTGTAGATTCTGGCTTATGAGGCTATTCTACATCTTGGACTGAAATATAGAGTACCTGTACGTGCAGCAAATGACTGTCCAAGGATGTGCAAGCACAAGTTTAAAGAATCTGCCATGAAAGGTATCCCTTTGGAAGAAATATATCAAGAGCTTGGGACTAGCAAGGTTAGAGTTTCTGTCTTCATTTGATTATTTGGTTTGTGTCATGTATTTGATAAAGAGTCTAAGTTAAATGTATGTGTGTGTATGCACAGGATATTGACAGCATATTGGTACCAGACCAATATGAAAAATCTCTGTTGGCTGGAATCATTGAAGATAATGTTGATGATGGCCTAGGGCAGATTGATATCATTGTTGACAGTTGGAGAGAGCGTCTAGTAGAAAAGAAGAAAAAGATATGGTGGGAAGGAATGTACCAGCTGGACCAGGCGTCCCGAGAGATTGGAAATAAGTTTCTTGAGAATGAAGACCCTGAGCAAGAAGTCCCTGAGAAAGAGAGTTCTGATATTGCTAACCTTGTTGCATCTATAAACTCACTAACAGAAGTGGTGAACAATGGCTTTCAAACCATTAAGGAGAAGTTTAGTGACATGGAGAATAGAGTGAAGGCTCTTGAAGTTTCTGTGGCATCCCAGGGTCCGGCGTTTACGCCATATGGGTCGCCATATGGGTCGCCTATGGAACCACAATATGGGACAAGATATGATTTTGAGGGTGGGCAGCCGAGTCAACCGAGTCAAACCATGGATTTGGTTTTGTATAATCCCATTTCTCCAATTGTTGCAGAACAAGGTGAGTGTAGAAGTTTCTTGGTTAATTCCTGAACTTTTAAAATGGACTAATAAACTGTTTTCTTTGTACATTGTATGAAGGTGATGAGGAGGAGAAAAGGAATGAGGAAGAGATGAAAGGAAAAGAGAAGAAGAAGGGCAAGAAGACAAAGAAGAGGAAGCAACAAGAGGGTGGACCTGTACTAGCAACCGGACAGAAGCGAACAAGGGCAGCTTCCCAACATATTAAGACACCATTTGTGGAAGTGCAGCCGAAGAGAAGGAGAAAGAAGTAAGAACTATGGTTGATGTGTGCTGGTGGTGTAGGAAAAAACTAAAAAATCTTTTGGACATGATTATTTGTGTTTTGAACAAGTAGGAACTATTGTTGATGTTATTTTGGTTGTACCTGGAGTTAGTACTTGTTATTTTGGTTAATTTTAGATTTCCTACTTTTGGGTACAACTGTGTTCAGTCGGTACAACTGTGTTCAGTCGGTACAACTGGTCAAGACGGTACAACTGGTCAAGACGGTACAACTGGTCAAGACGGTACAACTGGTCAAATACTTGTTAAATACTTGTTAAACATTTAGAAATAAAACTAGGTCAAATACCCGAGAACCATTGTCAAATAAAACATTTGGTCTAGCTAGCATTGTTTTAAACATTGTTAAACAAGACGGTACAACTGGTCAAGACGGTACAACTTTGTGGTACAACTATGTCAAAGCAAAGGCATAAATACTTGTTAAACATTTAGAAATAAAACTAGGTCACTAGTTCAAACTTAAGAAACTAATAGGAAATAAGTCTACATAGGGTTATTACAAACATAAGAAGTCTACAAAGATTTAGAGGAATACATAAATACATAAGTGGTTATTACTACCACTTAGATAGCAACTCCTTCAGCCTACCAATCTCGGTTTCTCTCTCCACTGCTAGCTTCTGAAGATCTTCGATTTGAGCACGCATATCCCGTATGGATTGACGAATTGACTCCAACATAGGATTTTGGTAAGCGTGGTGAATTGCTTCTTTCTGAGTTTCAAGTTTGGTATGTATCACACGAAACTCCTCATCAACTGCATGATCCCACCACTTATGCAAGTGTTCTCCACCATCCTAAACATAAGACAACGAATTACATAGTCATTAGAACATAATTAATCATCACTATAATTACAAAAAAATCTCTAAATACCTCAGAATTTGGACATTTGTATTCCTTTCTTCCTTGATTATCTCCAGTGGTACACACGACAAGCCTAACTAGGGTTCCACAGAAACAATATCTCGGAACCCCCCAATTACCGTCGGCTCTTGCCCAACTCATATCCTCACTCGGCTCCGATTCGGAGCTTTGAGTATAGCTGATTGGCATTCTCACTGCAGAAAATCAAGAAGAATCGGAAATTTAAAACCCTAGATCCAAATCCGAATCGACAAACCCAAACCCTAGATCTATGAATTACAAATCAAAAACTAGGTAAGAGAGAGAGACAAAGCTGATAATAAAGAGAAAGAGATAATACCCTAAAAGAAAGCAGTTGTTCGCCGGAATGTACGCTCTCGCCGCCGGAAATTTTAGAAAAACAAAACTCTGGGTTTTCGTTTTCTTCGCAAATAAAAGAGAGAGAGGCTCGAGAGTTAAAGTAAGAGAGAGAAGATATTTAAGGTAAGAGAAGACTTGGAAAACCCTAGATCTATCTTCTTTTTCTTTCTAAAAAAATATTTAAAACGAAAAATTCTTTTAATAAAAAAATGAGTTTGGCGGCTGTACTTATTTAATAGTGGGACCCATGATGGCTGAATATACTCATAGTTGTCCAGTTGTACTAGGAGCAACATAGTTGGACTTTTAACACTTTTTCTTGTTTGCAGTTGGACTAGTATTTAAAAATTAAATATAAGTTGGACAAATGATTTCTCTGAATTATTTGGCATATCCAAGGTTTACATAATATTATACTTACCAAATAATTGTTTTCACGTCTTTCACTATTATTTAGGTTATCTTATAGTAAGTATCCCTTATACTAGAAGGGGTTGTTTGTGTGAGAACATCATTTTCCATAGATTTTTTTAAAAGTTGTATTCGAATATTTAAATTTTCTTTAAAAGTTAATTATATTATGATTATATAATATAATTATT